GCCATGCACATGCTCCATCAGCCAATCAACCAAATCACGACCGGAAAAAAGAACATTTTTACAAAAAACGTTTTTAGTGGCAAGCAAATGTGATCGTTTTACGTCATGAGAGACGGCCGAAATGACTTTTTTGGCTGCAATTAATTTGCTTTCTAAAGCAACTCGTATAATCAGACAGCCACAATATTGGAAGCAACATATAGACAAGGTCATACCAATGAATGACATTGGGACAGGAATCTTCAACCATTTTCGATTCTTGATTTGCAGTCCCGAGTTCGGTAAGGCCATGTATTTGAGTACAATCACCGGATCCATATCAGTATTCAGATTATCCAGCAGCTGCTCTGGAACGAAAAAAAAAGTAATAAATAGCAACGTGCATCACGGTAGCCGATGCGATCATGCGCTTTGCGCAGTTCCGTCCAACGGACGTTTATCTCTTAAAAATTTAACTGTTTTACACTTTTATGCATATAAAAGTAGTCAATATGTTGTTTGACTCCACAAAATTTCCCACTAAAAATCTCACGTGCCGAACATGAAAACTGAATTTGAAACCACGAACGGAGAGCATCCTTTTAACTCCAACCTCCCAGTTTTTTTTTTTTTCTCAGCTTCCGAGCTAGTGACTTTCGTATCAAAATTCTCACGTGGTCACATGTCAGATTTCGGCGTAATTGGGAGCTAAACTTGAGTTGTGAGGTATTTGTAGAGGCAGAAAGCATCCTCTTGAAATTTCAACCTCACAACTCTTTTTGTTCCCGAGATAATTTTCCTCATCAAAGCTTTCGTGGGACCCCGCAAGAGACTCAGCTGTACATGAAAATTGATTCTGGTCTTGCGAGGTCGTATCTGAGCAAAGAACATTCTCCCAAAATTTCAACTTGCTGTCTTTTATGGCTTCCGAAGTAGTAATTTTTTTCGCCGAAACTTTCATGGGACGTAACTGAGACCCCAGGCTTAACTGAAAACTGATTTCAAATTCGAGGGGTCGCATGTTGGCAAGAAACATTTCCGTTAAATTTCAGTTTCTAGCTTTCATGGCTCTCAGGGTAATAATTTTTCAACCAAAACTTCCACAGGGCCATGCTTGATACCCGAGCGCACAGGAAAGCTGAGTTTAAATTTTCTGAGTCGCACGTGACAGGGAACAAGCCCCTAAAACTTGAGCTTCCTAATTCCATACTTCAAGGTATAATAATTTCCCCGTCAAAACTTTCACGAGACCGTACGTGTTACTCGTGGATAGGAAGCCTGGATTTAAACCTGCGGGGTCGCACGTTGGTGGGGAACACCCTACTAAAATTTCAGCCGCCTAGCTTTTATGGTTCCCGAGTTGAAAGTGCGGGACGAAATGCACTCGAACACACACACACACACACACGCACACACACACACGCACACACACACACACATGCACACACACATAGATAACGCCGTGACTATATGCGTTTTTGCTGCTGTTACACAGCGCGAAACGCAAAATAAAAAAACAGGTGTGGTACTAAAAATCGGCCGAGTTGCTCAAATAATGGAGCTAGCTGAACCTTAAACTTCACGTATGGAAACTATCTGAATCAAGAAATATTCGCAAACCATTTTCTTCGTTCTCCCGTCGCCTGGCCATATCCTCAACGCTAAAGGCGATATTTGTGTCTGGAGAATTCAACTGCTTGAGTTTTGAGCATACTTGACTGTTTGAGGGTACACCACTTTGTCGCTCAGCATAAGCTCCTTCCAAATCAGTCTCACTCGCCTCAACAGCTGTCACGTCGCCATTCATAGCCGATGCACCCTCCTCGATATCTTTTGGTGGTTTCGCAATATTATACCTTGAAACAATTAAGCAAAACTAAGATTTCAGGCGAAATGGCGGAACCGCAAAGTGATTTTAAAAAGAGCTGAAAGACTAGCACAGTACCGATTACCCGAAAAAATTTGCCCTTCAAAAAAGAGTCAAAAAGAAAAGGCAGCCATGCTAATTTTGCGAACTTCCGAGTATTAATGATTCCCATTTTAAATTATTTTGCAGAACAATACTAAAAGATTTTACCAAAAAAAAAAAATATGGACGTTTGGTACAAGTAGCTAAATTAGCCTAAAGCTTGTTGCGAAATGGCTACACTGGAAATGGACATAGCAACTCGACTTTTCCCGTTTTTCGCCGTTAAAGAATACTAACAAAAGCTTTAGGATAGGACCATATAAAACAGTGACATGTAAAGAATCTTTGAATAGAAAAGCAGTCAATAGCCCTCACAAAAGGTATTGCTGCTGGCATTTGCTATTTTCGCAATACTTCTCAACGTTTCCTCCTTCCACAGGAAACTAACACAAACGGGGTTTTGTCCTGCCCCAAAATTGAAAAAATTTAATTTATGGCACAGCAATGAAAGGGGCAGTCAACATAATAGATTCACTATAATATGATGCTGGCCTTTTAATAAAAGATGTCTTTTCAGTTCTTCTTTGTGTGTCGAAAACAAAAGCAAGTCAGAAGGATGACCAAAAAAAAATTCCGAAAGAGCAATTAAACAAAAACGAAAAGGCAGTTTTAGTAATTTTTTTAGTACTAAAGAAGAAAGACATTTTTAACTCATTTCACATTTTTTTTTTTTGTCGAAATCTAAGAATGACAAACAGAGATAACAGTTTTTGACAATAAAGTGATTTATCCTCTGTTCTTAAAAAAGAATATTTGGCTTCCTCTTCCCTTTACTTTTTCCTGCCCCTTTGAAACATTAAAATAATTACTTGGTGCTTTCCACCCAAAGCGATATATCGATGGGCATTGTTTCCGATGCAATTCCTGAGAGAATATTAGCACGCTGTTCCGAATTACTTGACGTCCGCTTAGCCACATACAGTGTCACAGGCCTGCAACACCACGACGAACTTATCCAGCTTGTTCGAATATTACAAAACATCCGGACAAAAAATATCTGCATTTGTAAAATGCAAGACTGACTCATCTCAACCGTCAACCCTCGAAGCCAAAAGCCTTGCGAACGAGCGGTACCACTCGGACTAGTTGCCAAGTGCTTCCACAGTCCAATGCACATGGGTAGCGTTTTGACTATTCAGTTTATAAACGGACTAACTTGCAACTAGCTGCAGCCTTCCTCAGCAAATCCACTGCTTCAACGTCCCTCAAATTTTCGAACGAATTCCGGTTTACTTGGACAATCTGATCGCCAATTTCAATGCGGCCATCCAGATCAACGGCACCACCTGCATAACCATCAAAGAGCATGGATGGTTTAGGCAGAAGCCAAATAGCAGTGCCTACAGTTCAAATTAATCAATCTTGCATCAATTACTGGGACAGTAAACACCACTCATCTGCCTGTCGACTGAGAACAGAACCACAAATTACACACTGTTCCGAGATATCAAAGAGGTCCAACCACGGGTAAAAATTTATAATACTGAAGCTACATTTAGTCAGTTGGGGTAAAAAGTTGGAATGTTTTATGGAGCAATGTAGCGACACAAAAGTGTTAAAAAAAAATTCGCCGACAATTCAGTTCTGAAACAGTTCTAAAACTTAAAAACTTCACTGCTCCCTTATTGTATAAGCTAAACTTAAATAGCATGCCCCTCGAACTTCTGAAAAGACTCTTCATTTAAGCATATAGTTTGTTCTGTTCGAAAAGAATTCGTGAAAAGTCAAAGCGATGGTCAATCGAAAAAAATTATGAATAAAACGAATGTTTCAGCAAAGAAGACTAACTGTTCTCACAAATTTTTACCTCTGTGAATATCGCTCACGAATATGCCACCATCATGGCTGACCACCGAAATTCCCAAGAACACTCCGTTCTTCATGGGTAAAGTAACAACATCAATTCGAGGTAGTGAGAGTGATGTCATACTGCAAAAATGTAAGATCTATCAAATTCTCAAGTACAGAAACTTACACAAACTTCCAACCCAGGCATTTCGTCATGACAGTTATTGATACAACAGGCTAAGCTAGGTAGGGCACGGGAGGGTACGAATCTTGCAGCGCCACGTATGATGAGACAACAGTAAATTGCATTTTGCCTAGCTAATCCTGAACCAGTGAAGGCTTGAGCAGCATTTAATGAAAAGTCAAGCAGCTGTGTGCAAAACACAACTTAAGCAAACCTTTTATGACTCTGTATGGGAACCAGCAAGGGGTGCTGTAAATAAGGACCTTCTGGCCCGCTTTACAGCAGCAAGTCAGCTACAAAGCAACTCGGAACTGCTAGTACTTTCAGATATTCAACGGATAATGTCACGCAGCAACCCTGATTTCTCCATAGGAAACTAGAAATGCAGGTCGCTATCGGAAGAAGAACCTGCGAACCGTTTGCTCCAGAAAATCGACAGAACATTATAAAACTTCTCCAGTATGTGCAAAATACGATTAAAAAAAGTCTGAAAAACGGTATGTTGATTTTACTTAGCATGGGAGAAGGACAAAGGAACGCATTCGAGTTTGTTGTCAACAGAGGAACTTAGCAAATGATCTCCAGAATAGCGTATTCCTTTTGATGCACTTTTTTAATTACGAAAAAAGATAATGCAAACCGCGCTGTTCGAAAATGTGCCAGTGGGGAATGAAAGACAATTTTGCAATTTTTTACATATACTGGAATAAAATTTCTCTTCGTTTGCCATATATCGAGACTCGCCTCATTCACGCTGCGATATATGAAAAAGCTCGAGCACTCACAAATAATAATGCACTTTTTGTAAGACTGCCATGCAAACCTGCTTTCGGTGATCGAAGAAATGGTGCTCGGTACATAGGCTTTTCTGTACCGCTCCTTTCGAGGACGTCTCTCTCTGCGGACGCAACCGACGCGTGGATTTACAATCAGTGAATTGGGATAGGCAGATGAGCATGCACCAGACTGCTTATATCTAAAATGATAGCGGTAACACACGAAATGCGTTGATTTCGGACAAGCTTTTGGTTACCTTGAAGTGAGCTGCTCATCCAGGCGGTACGTGTCTTCCGAATTGGATGTATATAGTTCCGCCAAACCTTCGCCAGCTCGTTCTGTAATTTGAGTTCCATGAACACAACTTCATGACAGTTAGCTTTTTGGATGCATCTAAGCCCGCACTCAGTTTTTGCAAATTTCCGCATAAACACTGCCAAGGAGAAATTTAAATGTGAATCTTCGCATGCACTCACTTATTTTTTATGCGTTTTGTGCTGTGTAACAGCAGTACAAAACGCATATTGTTACGGGGTTGCACGGCTGAAATTTTGGTATAGTGTTCCCCGCCAGCGGGTGACGCGGCAGATTTAAATCCAGTCTTCCCGTATCCGCGGGTAACACGTACGGCCCCATAAAAGTTTTTCGGGTAAAATCAGTATCTCGGGAATTACGGAAGCTAAGAAGGTAAAATTTTATGGGTATGTCCCCTAAACACGTGCGACCCAGGAAGCTCAAAATTCAACCTTCCTGTACCCGCGGGCAACACGCACGGTCACGCGGAAATTATTGACGGGTAAGTTGTTATCTCGGGAACCACAAAGTCTACGAAGCTGAAATTTTAGGCCGAAATTTTAGGGTAATGACTCTCTGCTCATGCTCAACCTTGCCTATTCAAATTCAGCGTTCCCGCGCTCTTGAGTATGACCTACGGCCTCATGAAAATTTTGGCGGGTAAACTATTAACTCGGGAATCACGGAAAGATATTCACCCTTCAAGGTTTCGAATTCTGCTTTCATGCGCAGGTGCGTGAAATTTTTAAATGTTTTCCAATGTTTGAACTATTTTTGCATAGACTGAAGTACGAAGCAGTGAAAATCATTAACAGGTAAATATTTTCCAATGTTTGGACTATTTTTGCATACGCTAAAGTACAAACAGTGAAAATCATTAATAGGCAATCGTTCGATGGGCTTAATTGCACAAAACGCATGATAGCACCGGCTAGTCTGGTGCGCGTTGCTGTTTATTTGTTTTTTGTATTTGCTGATGCGCACATATGGATAAGTACTAGATGGAAAGTGGCGATGATGAAGGAAAACGGAATCTGTGAAATAAGAAATGTGTGAATCTGTAACTTACTGCTGATCACTGTGGTTAGACTACTCGCGGTAATGCTATTTTCGTTGCTCTTGTTGCGATCGCCGTGGTTATTGCCGAAATTCTCAGAGGTAGTCAAGTCGTCGTGCAAAGATCGCCGTTTTCTCAGATTAAAATCCTGTAAAAAATATCCCAGAATTCGGGTGAAGGATCCGTTTATTTTCAATAAAATTTTTCAAAAAAGGAAGAACTGATGCTACACAATGTTTACCTGCAATTTTCCACAGGAATGTGCTTTATTCGCTTTCGCGGAGACCCTCGGCAGTGTTCCCGAACAGTAGATATTGTCGGATGTCGAAAGAAGTACTAATTCGATCAATCCATTTGCTGATTTCGCCAATTTCGTTGCATTGTCGTGTATTTCCACTTTTACTTCACTGAAAATACAGCACATGTAAGATAGGAAAACAATTTCCCTCCTTCCCTTCATCTTTTGCCGGCCTCGCAATACCTTCACATAATTCTTTGAACTTGCAACAAAACCCACGCGTATTAGAAATGAATTTCTAATGTGGATGTACTTTGATGCAATTTCGAAGGAACAGTACAAGAGCTCAAGTTTCTGTCTAAATAATCGCTTTTTCCTACTAATGCAACAGCAAACGAACCATCCAATAGCTTTGTCGAGCTGCTTGCAGAAATACTTATAGCCTTTTTTGTTGAACACCCTCTTGAAATCGCCCAGTGTTATCATATCATCCGCAACCGGTACAACTGATAAATACGGCGTGTTGTCATCCAAATAATAGTAGACCTGAAGAACTACAGTTATGCATTTTTTGTGGTGTAACAGAATATACCGTGCATTTCACCAATTTATGCAGAAAAACTTGAAACAGCAGGAACTTTTGTATTTAAACTTAGCTGGTAAAAGCTTCATATCTGACTATGGCAATTCTTCCCCAAGATTTCAGCCTTCCAGCTTTCGAGGTTCCAGAATTACATAAAGCAAAAAGCAGTTCAGCAAATGCGCTGTACAATGCATCGCGAGAGGGCAAAACAGTGTGGGGTAACAACAAAACAACGATGATGCATGGATCTGAGCAAAGTTCGTGCAGCATTTCACTCAGATGTAGGGCAGTCAAAAACGACCCATACGATACCACTGTGAGAGAAGCAAAACACAGCTCTCGGAAATGAGATGATAAAAGTGAACCTTGGTGGAAGGCGCAGCCCCATCGGTCGTACACTGCCCCGTGGTTGTTACCATTGTTGTAATTGAAGCTGAAAGCAAACATTTCAGAGGCAAAGCCAGCCATCAACCTCCCCTGCAATAAGCACAGCGTAGGCCCGACAATCCCGGGCAATCCCGACCGAAAAAATCTCTTTTCTGTTCAGACAGAAGGACAACTGTCCTGCTGCAGATGTACTGATACCTTGTCGCTTGTCATTTTACCAGGGGCTAATCGCCGTAGACCTCTGGGGAGTCATTTTGATAAGCGAAATTTCATGCAGCTTTCATTCATTCACAAAATCACAACGCAAACAGAGCCGGGGGTAGGGGGAGTGCGGTTTTAGCTGAGCGGAGAACAGTGAAAGGCCTGCCTCCTTAACACATGGCCTGGGGATGAAACAAACATACCCGGGCACCCATTCACAAATGACCACTTCTCCTACGCCCTGTAAACATTGAAAGAAATCTCTCTGTGTTTAAGTGTACTGCAGAAGCATTTCATGGGACATGTGTTGAAGTAAAGCCACCGGAGGTGCAGTTACTCAATACCGCAACCAGTACCGCTCAAAAGCCCCCCCCCCCCCAAAAGGTCAACAGAAGTGCTGTGCTGTAACAGTAGCAAACGGTCAATTGCGGGTGACGCTAGCCCGCGCACCACCGACAACCCAGCACGGCACTTCACTAGGGTGCGTAGGCAATAGAAATACGCGAACGGCGGAAGAAATGCTTAAACCAGAAGCCGAGAGCACTAAATGCTACGCCACGAGAACTGGCTAGGTGCCAGCGCGACAGCACTTTGCCAAGATCAACCACACGCCGGTACATCGCTGCCTTCTTCGGGCGCTGTTAAAAGAAGCGAGATCGAGACCTCCACGAAGTACTATCGAGAACATAATGTTCTTCAAGTAATGTCATGCGTCCCGTAACAGCTGTTAATTCACGGCCTGCTTCCCAAATATGCAGCTGGCAATTTTTGCTGTAGTTACTCTGACCTTGGCTGTACTGCTTGATGCTTCGTCTAGTGGCGATTCTGACGTTCGTTTTATCTCCTGAACGGATTACCAGCTCAGCGGTTCTTGCAACCGAAGCACTTGGCAAGGCTTTAGGCCATCTTGTTGTTCTCCAGCTCAACAGCGTCGGGCGGGTGCCGAGAAGCGACCACGTTAGCGTGTGCAGTCATAACCTACGTAGGCTGCGTCCGATGACAACTTCCCTTGGCATCAAACCTTGCTTGATCCACGTATGTTTGCGTGCACGCACTTCGTCTGCCAATCTTCCCTCTCCCTCTTTCTTGCTCAAACACTGCAAAAAGCCCTCTGCGTAAAACCGTCCCCTCCACGGCAACTAAACGCACAATCTTATTGACGTCACAGAAGGCGACACCTACTTCCGCGGCTCGAACACTAACCCTACACCGACTCGCAGTTTAAACATGAACCTGCACCCTTCAGTAATTTCAACACCGATTCGCAACGTCTCGCAAACCGGACGCTAAGCCTGTCGCCGTTTCGCGATCCTTTTGGGCAATTACTAAAACACGGCAATCACAATAGCTGGCCAGCGCATGGGCTGCCCGTGCGAAGATGCGTTTTTCGCGTAGTTTTTGTCGCTACCGGCACCGGTTTTTTCGGCAAATGCTTGTAGCTAAACAAATTAAGACTGGCCGCCAGAACTGTCAGGAAACACCCCTTTAAAATTACACCTTTCTAGCTTTCCTGGTTCCTGAGTTAGTAACTTACTGCAAAAAAATTTCACGGGCCCGTACGTGAGTACCACGCATACCCGATATCTGGGTTTAAGCTCACTAATACCTACTTGGACGGGGAACGTTCCCCTAAAATTTCAGCTTTCTAGCTTCCCAGATCCCCAGTTATGAACTTACTGTAAAGAACTTCGGCGGGCTCTTACGTGAGTACCACGCTGCTAATGGCACCCATTTTGGAGATTAAGGCCCGTACGTGCATGTAGATTAAGTTCCTGAAATTTCAGCCCAGCAGCTTTTACAGGTCTTGAGATGAAAGTGCACGACAGACACACGTACAAGTACGCTGACCCTTGTCAACATGCGTTTTTACACTGCACAGCTGCAAAAACGCATAAAAACTCGGCTCAGCTCTGCTGATGACCGATGGTGCTCACGAGAGTCTCTAGCATCTCTGCCAGTGCTATCTCGCGGCGTCGGTCGCTGGAACGGGCTGGCACTGCGCCAGGCGCGGTGGGTAGCGCTACCCAGTGCCTGGCATCTAGATCGCGTGGCTTGGAGGTGCTAGGTGGGAAGGCTGGACGTAGTTGGAGGGCGTTGGTTGGTAGATGACCAGATACAGCTCAAAGAGCGCAGCTGAGGCCAGGATAGTGGGGAGGAATGAAGTTGCTGGTCAAGAGTTCAAAACGACAAATGGTGACAGTGGTTGGGAGTGGTGGGTGATGGGTGCTCCGATGCGGCTCTGGAGGCAGGGGTTGGGGACAGGATACAGGAGGGAAACAAGGGTGCTGGTCCGGAGTTCGAGGCAAGAACTGCAGACAGCAGTAATAAATAGCAGCGCGCACCAGACTAGCCGGTGCGATCATGCGTTTTGTGCAATTCAGCCCATC